CCTTCCTGTACTGACAGTAACATGTGTAACAACCAATCATTCCTGTACTGACCGTAACATGTGTAACATTTCAGTCCTAACTTGGAATGATATACTAAAACCAGATGTGTTAACTCTTACATGTGTGTCAACCTGTAGTGACAAATATAACAACCTGGCCTTATTGACAGTAGAATATTATGTCTAAAGTTATTTACCATAATTTGTAAAATTGAAGTCCAAACTCTTTCACAAAAAAGTTTGTATGACTAAATTTATCCATGCATCATTCATAAGTAAATCCTGGTTTTACTGTAATTGAACTTGTGATAGGTTTGACTGTAATGTCAGTGTATATTTTATATAATGATTAAGCCAGGGGTTATGTCAGGGACAGAAATCACTTATAGACTCATTCATTGTGTGAAGTAGGTGAAATGAAAGACAATATACAATTGATTCACATTTAATTTGCTCCTTATGTAAATGGTACTTAAACTGCCATTCTTGAGGCTGGGGAGGAGATTTTGTTATGATGTTGAATTTTTTTGAAGAGTTTGCAAAAAAGCAGGTGCTGATCCTGAAACTTTAAAAGGGGGTGTTCAAGAGGGATTCACCTTTGAGGGGAAGGTTCTAAATTCATTTTGATATATTTTTATGTGAATGTGAAGAAAGGGGTGTCAAAGTGTTGGTACATTCCATATATTTGCCAAAATTTACCTCCATATATTTGCCAAAATTTACCTCCATACATTTGCCTCCATATATAGTCAAAATTATTTTTCAAAATTTCTGTTTGGTCCTTTTGTAGAGGTGGACCTTTTAAGACCATATTCTGCTAAATTTCTTCTTAGCATTTATTCGTTTTAAACGGGACAAGCTATTTGAACAATAGTAATGACAGGCTGCAAAAATCTTTTTTTTCTAAATATTGTGCTTAAGATATAAATTTTGAATCCATAGATCTAATTTTCTTTTTTACTAGCATATTGAATGATTTTTATTTGGTCTGATAATCCAGAAATTGATTATCCTTTTGTTACAGATATGACCAAAAAAAGAAGAAAAACGTAATATTATTTTCCACCCATTTTAGGTATTGTTTTTTTTATAAATATATTATTGTTCTTTTTCAAACTCTTGTCTTGGAAGCAAAGGCAAAAACAAAAGAACAAAAACTACTTTGTTTTGTGTTTCACCGATTGTTCGTAGCTCATTTATAACCTCAAGATTTCCTCTATAATAATTGTTTTAACTTCTCAAGAACCTACAAAAACAAATACATAAATTATGTATTGTAATTTCTTTTTAATTTTTAACAACAGATGCTTGTGTTTGGCAAAAAAAATGTTAAGGAAATATAAATGAATGGTTCAAACCGTGTTCGTTTTTTCAACAACAATGGTTTCTTACTCCTGTTATATATTGAAAAAACTTGTTCAACAAAAGACGAAATTGTTTAAACTATTTTACGTAGCCTGATGTTTTGTTCACAATAATAAATCCATTTATTTTGTTACTCAGACAATAACCATTCAATTGTTAACAAAACAATACCCCATTGTCAGTCTGCACTTTGCAGCATCCAAGCAAGAACCGTAACTCTTGTCTAAATTTTAATTCATTTTAAAGTTGTCAGGAAATAATTTGTTAGTGGAATGAAAATGTCAAGCAGTATGATAAGATGCGAGTCTTTTCTAGAAAGGTAAGTAAATTTTTATGTGTATTTTTATATATTGAAGAGTTTGAATTAGTGTGATTTGATTAATTTTATTGATAAATTAAGTAATTAAGGAGGTAATGATTACATACCAAAATTATTTAAAGGCTGAAGTGATTCAATAGAATTGTTAATCATTTTTCCTCAATTTTTTCGTAGGTTTTGCTAATTGGCATGTAATATGAAAACTGTCTTCATTGAAAAAAACAAATCATTCAATATTATCATAACTTTTCAATAGAAGTAATATATATATATTATTGTAAAATTAATGACAGAAAACTCTTTCCTCATATTCCCTTAATCTGTATTAGATAAAATAGTAGATTTTTAAGATGATTTATTTGAGAAAGTAACTCAAATCTCAATCATATTTTTTTTTTCGAAGTTTGCATGAAAATCACTGAAACTAAGGTCAATTAAAATTATGAAATTCACTGACCCCATAGTCAATGAAACAATTGTTAATTATTAATATGATTATTATTGGCTAATGAAGACAGGGATGTTAAAAGAGGAAGTTTAATATCTAACCTTACAGATTGTGTTCCATATCTTTTTTCAAACAGTTACTTAAATTTCAGATGAACCTTGACATTTCAGCATAAAATCAAGTTTTCATCTTTATTTCAAGGGAAATAACTTGCCTCACATTGTCTCTGTTTGTTTTGTTTTTGTTTTTTGTTTTTGTTTTTGTTTTTTTTGCTTAACAAAATATTAACTGTAATTAAAAGTTTGAAAACTTGGAAGATTACATTTATTATGTATAGATAAATTTTCTCTCTCCACTAGCAGACTTTATTGTCAATGAAAATTTCTGTCCCACCTAAGAGAATCAAATCACAAAATGAAACTTTAATTACAGGGTCAATTATGGAATTGACAAATGGACTATTGAATCTCAGTTTTTCTGTACTCTTTGCTATTTAGTTGTTGTTGGGTTGTTTTATTGACTTATACCTAACATCTGCATTTGTAACATTTGTCTTCCTTTTTCTTTTTTTAGCCATGTTGTCTGTACTTGTATGACTTTTTTTTTCATGACCCCCCTTTCCTTATCTTGATGGCATAAAGTTAAATACCAGGAAAACATAAGGAGAGCTTATTAATCTGACCCCAATTTCTTTGAAAAGCTGTGTCTTTTGTTAATCTACTGAACAAATTTTGCCTCTTGTAATTTCCAAACAGAAAAAGACATCTGTTTTTACGTCAGAAATGATTATTTAATTTATAGTTGCATTATAGCAAAATTTAGTCTGAGACAAATAAAATGTACAGGTGCAGACTTATTGAGTATAGTTAAAATATAAAAAAAATATCAGATAATTCGTTATATGCACATTCTGCAGGTGCAGGGGACATGCATAGAGGGGGCGTTGCTTTATGTCTGTCAAAGATTGAATGTTTATGACATCAGCAAAATATAATTACATAATGGGCATTACGACTGCATCTTTTGACATTCTTTTATGTAAGTTGATTCTGGGTTTGGTCACGATATCTTTGACAGAGATTCATAGAGAACTCAGTATTCCGTAAGCAACTCCGAATTAGTCTGGGCTACTTTAATTTTCAGATATGCCTGGGTATCTTCCTCTGGCAATATGAGTTACGCTTATAGAGTTACTCTTAATTAATCTAAAGATATTGTTGAGCTAAATTAGTCTGCTGCATAAATTTAAGATATTATATAAAAATCTTGGGTTGGCATTAGGTTAGCTTAAAAAGTTTTATGCTGTCTGGCTTACTGAAAGGTTGGGGGTACCCACTGGGACTAACATGAGTAGTATAATAATATAGATCCTATGCAGTTCTCCCCAAATTAGATAATGTCCCAGTATTTGTACTATAATGTAATATGTGATGGCTGAAAAAAATGGAGTAAAAAAGTACCTCCATATCTCCATTCACCATTACAATAAAATTCTTTTCATGATTCAGATGAACAAGATTGATATGTTAATTTCTGAAATTGACTTCCTCAATAAAAATTTGAAAAAAAAAAAATTGATTTGGAGAACCCAAAAAAATACAATCAAGTAAATTTAAGACAATTTCACATCTGTGGCTTGTTATGTAATATTCCTCTTGTAATATATCATTGTATAGTATGAACGGTTGATATGAATTTATCTTGAGTTTACTAATCTATGCTACATCATACATCATCGCATAAAAATGGTAGAGATTCCCCCATAAACGTGTCTTGTAATTTAGTTTATTTCAAAATTGTATAATTTGGCTTGACTGATCTAACAATAAATTCATTCCAGTGTAAAACGCAAACTGATGATATTGTCGTCCGAATTGGCATCAAATACAATGCGTGTAAATCAGACTCGATATCACGCTCCTAAACAATGGAAAACGATGCAGAATATTTGCATGAACGATTTGTGTATTGGAATTTTTAGCATCGGAATGTTTAACGTAATTCAAGATATTTTGTTAGTGTGATGAATCAATCCGTTTGTATTGTTGTCGGACAATTTACTAATTTCATTTACATTTATCACCGAGATTTGTCGCCACCAATTGCTCTTTTGCTTTTTATACAATTTTCTTTTTGTATGCACAAGAAGATGTTGCATCATATCCCTTTAATAAAGGGGGAATCATTTTAAATTCGTTTTTTGTATTTCAAATGAACAAAAAGCTTAATAAAGTTTTCTATTCCTTTTATGATCCTTATTCTGCAAGTTGATATAAGACACCTATACATTAGCGAGATGCATAATCTAATTTCTTTTGATATCTAACATCTATGACGATCAAGCACTTGGTAGATTCATTTAGAGTTGATTTAGGATCCATTTACCATTATGACTTTTCCGGTCCATAAAAAATAACAATACTTCACTGTGAGGTTTTTTTTTTGTTAGAATCCTTAGCATTTGACATTATAACAGCTATATTGTTAGACAAACGTCCCAAAGTTTCGACAAAACTATAATTTAGAATAATTAGTTGTCATTTCTTTATTGAACAATATAATTGATGTTTCAGACTACCTTAACCCTGGTCGCACATGCTATATTTTTCCATTTATATTATTTCGTCAGATTGAAAAAAAATATATGAATTGTTTTGTATATATTGTTATCTATGACGATGAACTTGGAAATAAATTATATCGTTTATTTTATTCATTGAGTATAATGTTATCTCTTATATTTCAATGTTTGAACGTAATAAATTGGCCACTCACACGGGCCAAAGCAAACGTTGTTCCTTTTAAAACCAATCATTTTCACGTATTAATTTATTTACATGATTTCTAAGTAGCTAACTGTTAAAATTTCTGGTCAATTAAAATTATATCAAATATCAGATGTATTAAGACCACCGGTTAAACGAGAACAATAGATATTACGATACGAGAAAAACTACACTTAGACAGAGACTGGTGTTTACTTAAAGGGTCGCACTTCTATCAATGACCTCAGGGTGTCAACACAATATTGTACCACATATATTTAAAGACGACTTCTTTGGGAGTAGGATTGTGGGGCGGAGAAGTGGAGAAACTTTGTAAATGACACTTAGCTTGGTCTTTAATTAGTAATGTTTATCGATGTACGTCCCAGTTTAACGTAAAATGAGATGCGATCTTCTAGACTATAAAGATGAAGTGGAATTTACATTTAATCATGGGTAGGTCTTTTTTTTCTTTAATATTATTAATATGTGATATTGTTCAGTTCACATTTATTGATTCTTAGTTCTATGGTTTATCTCTAAATCCCTGTATAGCTTGGAAAGCCTATTCAGATGTTTAACTTTTGTCAATATATCAATGTAGAATAGAGGTATTGTTATCAACTCATTTCTTACAAATTTATTTTATTGAATAAAGTGATAAAACTAATTTAAAGTAAATGATTAGGATTTGGCATTCCACAGACAGGGACTAAAAATTGATCGAGAAAGACCAGAAAATTGATATTTTTCTTACGCTTCTTTCAAATGCAATATTTTTATCTGTAAAGGCATTACGATGATATTCACACGTCAAAATACTGGTAGGAAAAATTATCTTTTGTATTTCCTTTGCTCGTTCAAAGATTTTCACTCTTCAGTTTCAAATTACAAATTGACAGTTTTAATTTGCGCTTTACTTTGCATTTTTATAGAGATTTAATTTTAATGTCAATTATGTAAATAAATAGACTTTGTAGCATATTAATTGTTGTTTAAACTCTTCATTCCATAATTTGTACTTTTATTAAGTTATACTTATTATTAAACACACTTACAGAAATAGTTTAAATCTACTTCAGAATACAAAAGTTAAAAGCTTTTATTCTGTTAGTGATATTTATCTTTCAATTTTAGTCTGGGTATGGACAAAATTTATAAATCATTTTACTTTTGATGACCGAATTAATGAAATCTTTTTAGCGACGGGATCAGATAAAAAGGACTTATCAATAAAAACATGAAATACAAATGGCAAATTTAATTTTAATGTTTGCAGATTGAGGATTTCTGTTATATATTGTATCAATTTTTAAGTTTTGATTTTTCTAAGATAAATCAGGATTTTTTAAAGGCAAATTTGAAAAAAAGATATTCTTGAACTTTGATTTTTATTTGTCATGGTATAAAGTATCATAGTCAAGTCTTACACTTTAAATCATTGTAAAGTTAGATATGGCAAATTTAGAAATCTTAGTGATCCCAGCTTAAAAACTTAAGGACACCATATAATCTCTTAAATTTCATTGTGGTAGTATTAGAGAAAAAGAGATATTTTATGACTGCTTTTATATCTTCTCTTAAAGTGAAATTGATGGTGACAAAGAGTTATTCCCCCTTTTTTACAGCTATTTTTCATTTTACATGGCAGTTTTACTGAAACCCTAACTTCATTGATATATGGAATTTTATTTGTGTAAAAATATTACATAGACTTTTGCTTAAAAATTATTATGTGGCTTAAAAATGACAAGTATAGGGCACATATTTCCATTGCTACTTTCTTAGATATATATAACTCAGAGAGTGACAAAACTTCCAAATTCATAAAATGGAAATGATTAGAGAAGAGTATGTATTTGATAGTTGGCTGAAATATATGTTAGTATTGATCTGATTTCATAGTCGTTCTGGATAATGCATGTGTAATAATTGCCACTGGACATTAATCAAGTATATATATCAATCAACCACTCAGATTTCTTAGCAATTTATTTTCACTTTTACTTTGAGTAAAACTTGAAATTGATGATAATTTGGGGTAAATTAAGCAAATTTTTTACAAACTTTTCAAGAAATAAAATGCATGAAGTTAAGATTGATGACTTGGGACAATAAATTAGTCCTGCATTATGCTGCATTTAAGGGTTGTTCACTTTTTTTTTCACTTTTTTTTTCAAATTTATATTTTGATCTGCGAATGACATTTGACATTCATTATTCATTTAAGAAACCTTTTTTTCTATTGGATACCGGTATGGGAGCAATGATCATATAAATTAATGAATATGAGAACAAAATAATAAAAAGTAAATTTATGAACAAACCATCTGTAGAAATCAAAAGAAAGAAATAAAATGTAAGATCTATATCTATATAAATATTAAATATTAATATATATAATGACATTTGGTTCTTTTTATGTTTTGTTGTGATATGATCATAACTATGATTTATTGTAAATGTCCACTCTGATATTAAATGGCCTATAGAGGAAAACACACCAAAATAAAGTCTTTAACACAAATGTTCTGGTACCCCTCCTACTGGGTTACTGTTTGTTCTGGTTCCCTCCCTACTGATTTATGTTTGTTATCTCTTTATATACTGTAATCTTTAAACAATATCTAACTGAACAAAGTTCTGTGGTAAATTCTTGGGCCATTTACAACTCTACAGGACACCTTTCTAACTCTATCAAAAAATCATGATTTAAAATGAAAATGATTCTTTTATCTATAACATTAGAGATGTTGTTGTTTTATCCTAGCTGCTTGTTGACTTTATATAATTTTTATCACAAAATTCTTGACACTTTTTATAAGAAGAAAAATGTGTTAGTTTTTGAAAGAGATGACATTTAGAGATTGGCATATTTCTTACATTTCTAATTTTAATTTGCAAATATTTTTAGCTGCATTTTTTGACAGCTGAAGTAAGCAAGAGATTTATTTTGCCAGTTATATTTTATTAGCTTGATTAATATATGCATGTTTTGCATTTGTGAAAAAAAGCCAATTGAATTCCAAACTTTGAAGTTTTTACGTTTTTTGTAAAATTTAAGATTTAGTTTTTGTCTATTTTCAGCAATATTACAACATGCTTTTTTGTTGTTGTTTTGTTTAAGTCTCTCTTATATTAATTCAGTTATGCTGTAGCTCTTGCATTTTCTGGACATTAAACTTGGACCTTTAAATAGTAAGCACAAGAAACCAAACAGCCCTTCCAAGTGAAATTCGGAAGATTTCTAAAATGAAGTAGACATATTGTTCAGTACATCCCCACCATCTATGAGTAACCATCCTTTGCAATGCTTGCTTTCAGAAATTTTTGGACAAAACACAGAAATGAGCATAGAATTATAAGACAAAAAAAAGCTGAAAAAACCAATGGTTTCAGATCAAAGTTGCCAATCTTCTAGAAATGGGAAATCATGTAATTGTTTGCACAGCAACTTTCCCGTTTTTTTTTTTTATTCAGAAGGGACTTTTGATCCTGCAAATTCATTAATGCTACCATTGTCAATTTTTCTATACATTTTCCCCTCAATTTTCCCCTTTTTTTTTGAATTAGTAAATTTTGTCTATCCTCTTGTGTTTTTAAATCTCATACACAAATCATTATATTTGTTCTACAGTCTTTTATTCTCCTTTAGTTTATCAATCTGAACCTTTATATAAGTAATGCAAAATATTACATAACTTTCCATTTTAATGAGACAGTACTTTCCTTATCCAAACAATCTAGGTTCTCAAAATCTAGCATGTTTCTGTATCATAAGACTGCTTAAATAACCATATCTTTAGCACCTTCGGAAAGCCAGGATTCCTGTAGCGACTGCTTATTTCATTACATAACAGACTTATTATGTTATTCAATTTTATTGGTTTTCTAGATCGTTAATAATTAGTTCATATGCTGACAGACTTGTCAGTCAGTAATCAGCAGGAGGCAAGGGGAGATAATACAATTAATTATCAGCAGATAATCATGTTTGATCACTGATCATCATGATAAGCAATGATTGGCAGATATTGGCTAGAATTGATTGTACTGCTGAACTTAATTATGGTCTGAACAGTTCTAAAAGTTTCTAAGTGGATGTTTACAAATAAGGGAATGGAAGGTGCTACATGTGAATTATGTTTTTTTATGTGATCTAATTTTTCTATTGTGTTTTGTTGTCATCATCTGCAGACACATAGGTTTCAGTATGACAGCTTTGACTTGTTGTTAAACTGTCATTAGGAAATATTATTACACTTGTTCTTTTCTCATATCAAAAACTTGAATTGAACTTTTGGGAATCTGGTTTCATTCTGTTTTCTGAAAACTGTCCAGATTTAAATAGAATTATACTTATTTGCAATTATTTTTCATCTTTTAGGAGCTGGTCACCTGGTACCTTAAAATTTGTCATTAAATGAAATTCAAATTTTTGAAAGTGATAGATTCGTCCTTATACATAGCAATACAGTAGGACTTCCTTTTCTATTCTCAAGTATTCTTAGGGACAATATTTTGGAAGGTTAGTTGTATAATTTATAACCCGCATCATCTTTTAAAATCAGAGACAAAATTGTTTACCATCCCATCTTTTGATGCCTGGTTTCACCCATAGTGTATTACAATGTAGTTAACGACTATATCGGCCTTTGATGTACTGAAAACTTAAGAAAATAAAACTGATGATAAAAGAAATTTCTATTCTTCTAAACAGCGGGACTATTATTGAAAAATATTATGTCTTTATATATGGAATATTAGAGACAGGAGCCCCTTTAACGTTTGAAAAGTAGAATATAAAATTTCTGACGGGATTACAAAAGAAGGGGTAGAATTGATTTGTCATAGTACATCATTAAATTCAAATTGTTCGACATTTAAATCATCTTTTAGTGTTGTTTGATTTACTTTCTAGTTTTCAGCTTGGCTTAATATATGCTTTTCTCCTCTTACAACACAAAAGGAACATTTTACAAATGCATAAGATATTTTTTATTCGTTTTGTAATAAAATGATAAAAGTAGTTGTATTTTAAACATTATGAGAATGACATACGTTTTTTGCCGAGGATTAAATTATTGTTCAGACTGCGAAGCAACTAGATTTTATAATGTATCATTTTAATAAATCAAGTTTATAATTACGTTACTTTGAAATTCTTACTTTTGTAGTTAAAAATTTTGTTAAGTACTGTCAATTATCAAAATTAAAGAAAAAGTAAAAGTAGGTCCAACGAAAATAAATCATGGTTCACAAGTTGGATGTACTCTTCTTACATAGTTAAATACAGACACAATAGAATTCTAAATTGAAATATAAATATTTCGGTGTTGTTGAGTGAAAGTCTTACATTAGAAGGGAAAATCTGTTCCCTTAACAATAGCTTTAATCGGGAACGTTTATTTTTCCGTGTTTCAATATTAGGATAAGTAATTTTTGGCGGGCTGTTG